CTACGTGCATTGCTGCAATGTGCCTGCAGGTCCATGCCATTGCCATCAGCTACCATTTGTGCTTCTGGAGTTTCGCCTGCCTCTGCATCTCACCCCGGCACACTCTTCAGAAAGCGAAAGCTTGTACCCACAAGAAGCCCGATCCTGCCTGCACGTTTGAACCTTCTGCCGACCCCTCCGCAGATTGAAGTATTGCAATCACTACAGTCAACAGCAGCTCTTTGCCAGCCATGGTCCGCAACGTGTCTGAGTGTCTCCCCCGCCTCCAAATCTTCTGTGAGCTGTCCGTGTGCTGCTTCTGCTGCTGAGGGCGGGTCATCCTGCGAGTCTTTGCAAGCTTTGAGGCCCTGAATCGCATCAGCTTCTGCCGTTTGAGACAGGTTTATCAAAGTTTCCCGCGGTGGCAAAACGCTCAAACTTACAGTTTGCTAGTTCACCCATGTCTGAAGCTATCCCAGCGCAGTCAGCGGAAGCAGTGCAAGCTGACGCATCCGGTCATACCTTGACTGAGGCTCTATAACATCCATCAACACTGCCATATCGGTCGCTTCCTGCTTTATCTGCACACTTTGTTGCAAACATGTAAGCTCGCAGTTGAAACCAATGTGCTCAGCCTGCTCATCGTCATCTGCCGGCTGACATGGTTCCGCAGGTACATTCTCGGGTCCATCGGCTGCTTCCTACAGGCCATCGGCAGCCACAAGTTGCTGATCATGGTTCAGCTCAGCATGCCCTCAGGCCAAGGCTCTCCAGACCAGCAGCATCACCAGAATCGACAGCACCACAACAACACGCGAAGTAATGTGCAAAATACATATGAGGAGGTCTGGCATAAGGATGCCCAAAGGCCGGTCGGGCCACATTTCACAATTCTTTTCTTGAGGCCCTATACCCCAACCAACCGAGAAAACAATGACCACCAGTAGCGTGATCCTCCACTCACGGTGGAGAAATTTGATCATTCGCGAAAGATACAGCTCGCTGCAAGCACAACGAACGCAACTGAAAACGATTCCAGTTCAGCGTGTTCAGCATGTTTTTCATTTTGTCTACATCCTGCGTTTGCACCCGCCATGACAACGGCACATGTGTGAACGGAACGCGAAGATTCTAGACCAGTAGCGTCCCCATCAGCTGCGGGCCGCGGTTTCCATGAGAGCATGGTTCGCAATGTTGTCCGGCGGCTCTTCAGCAGAGTAGCTACAATGAATCAATGAAAAACAATTGGCTTTTTGGCAACTGAGCAAGCGCATGTGCGCCAAACAATTGTCGTCTTGTCCGCAGCTTCGGGTACTTGGATAAGCTTTTGGAGGTGTCTGCTACGACAAACAAAGTTTGGCGTGCATTGCGCAGACAAATTCTGTGCTCTGCAGAGGAATACATGCTTGGTGAAATGTCTCTTCACGAAAGTTTTGGCACGCATTTCTGCTGCCCTCCGCGTGAACTATCCTCGGCTTCGGACATCCTGCGTCCCAGGAATATACCGTAACACTGTATATAGCTCATCGATTTCAACAGAACAGTTCCAACAGGCAAGACTAAAGCGTGATCATTCATGTGGCTGGGGAGTTCAAGATATCAAGGCACCAAGAATGACGCGTGGATTTTGTCCGCCGTGATAGCCTCACAATGGCCTGAAAAAGGAGACATTCCTGTTTGGAGACCCTCTTTAAAGTGTTTTACTGCAATCATGGTTATCCCCTTGACTCGATTAGGGACAGGGCTTGTGCCAACCGCTGAGACGCATGCCATTCATGAACATGCTTGCGGCGCCCGTACAGGCCCGTGGGTTTAACGACATTCAGAGGTATGTAGGACGATGCCGAAGCGCGCGAAACTCTGGTAAAAAGCACATCATGGTAAACAGCCACTAGATACAACCATAAGGCTGAAACACTGTAAGGCCTACCTCCGAAGTTTGGTTTCGCACGTTTTGCCACGCCTTCATGCGGGTTTCCAAAGCAAGCGCCTCTACCGAAAGCGGAAAACGTTCCGCTCTGAAACGCATATCAGGGCAAACCGCGCTCTAAAACCATAACGCCAAAACACAGCAAGGCCTGCCTACGAAGTCTAGTCTTGCGCGTTTTACCACAGTTTCACGCGCGTTTCAATACAGGCGCCTCTGCCGCAGTCATCCTGCTTGAAATTCACCTCCCCCTCTCCCCACCCTGCACCATGCCTGCCCAAGCCTAACAGCATGCCATTGTGCTACCAGATGCTTGAGACGGAGGCCAGCAGGGAAGATGAGAGAGGTGCATTCAACCAAATCCACGAGAGCCGAGATTATGTGTTTGGAGTTCCCCGCCACCTATATCCTTATGCACCGGCCTGATGGTTGTGGAGTCCAAACCCATTAAAGGTTCTGCATGGTTCCGCGCCCTCCTGGAGTCTCCAATTCAAAGACATACATCAAGCCAAAAATGCAGAGATCGTGCCGTCATGTGTCCGTTGACGGGTAAAGTTGATGCTACTGGCTAAGGATGCCTCTCCAGCAACAGCACGGAAGCTTGACAGAATTGCTGTTAACGTGTCGTCGCGCCACGGCCACCGTGAATGCCAAGACTAACCCGGGCTTCGCAATCCTGCGATCAGCTCTTTCGGCTTCTCCACAACTAATCCGTGCCACACCCACCCCGTTCTTCCCAGGTGAGCCGTCTGCAAACATCAAGTAGTCAAATATTCTCATGATCTGAACGCGAGCCCTTTCAACTCGCAATCCGCGCAAACCGTGAACTTCAAACCGGTGCATGGCGCGAAAGGATACCTTTCATAGTGTCCGTAGGTCAGCTGACAATGATGCCAATAGATTCGGACACTGTTTGTAGTGGTTGTGATCTGCTCTTCTGACGGGCTCAACTTCCACACACGAGTGCAACCTGCCGCAGCTGCTGCTGATGCTGTGCGGGTGCTTGCTGCTTCAACCCGGCCATCCCGAGCTTTCTGCGGCTTTGCGAGCTTTCTTGAAAAACAGATCGTAAACATCAGGAACAAAGGATAGGAAGCCAAAAAAGCATGTCAACGAAGGACGATGGTGGGACAGGACAGGGACAACACAGGGGCACAAACTTTGACTGCCGCCAGCAAGATACCCCTAGCAATGCCTTGAACAATGCCTAGCATCTCCAAAGTATCAGTGGGCTCAGAGTGAGGGTGCGGACTTCGTGTCCCACATTGTCCCATTTTCCCATCCAGCAAAGATGACTATAAGCAGACAGAAAGTTTGAATTGCACCTCTTCGGACCATGAATGTGCAATCCACCAACGTGAATGCTAGGGTGCCAGTTGCATTCCGTTGCCGTGCCGGCCTGGGGTGGAGCAGTCAGCGTCGCGTCCACGGCCAATGGCAGTTGGCCCTGCCAGAATCGGGGATTATGAAGCCATGCAACAAGCATCCTAACGCTTGTTCTGGTGCGAATCTAACAATACCTACACAAATGCCTCAAACCACGGGAGGCTTATCTCTCACTTGATGACTCTTGCTGGAAGCAGTTCCGAAATTTGAGCTCACTTGCTACAAATTCCGCGACCCACCTCCCCATCTGCCCCATCCGCTCCATGCACCCGCCGCCCTTCAGCTCCTCCGTCCTTGGAATGGCAGACCAAAGACGGCATGGCAGGCCAAGGGCGAACAATACGTTGCGTTGGATTGAAGAGTTGATGCAGCTTGCATCAACGATCGCTCCTGTCTTTTGCCATTAGGTCCACCAGGGAGCTCGAGCGCTACTCCGTCCTGCATGAGATGGCATGCTGGCTTCAGGAGATCCACTTAAGAGTTGCAAGTATTCAGAATTTGCACACCTACATCAAAAAAAGGTACAGCATTACAATAAGCAACCAGCCTCCGCATTCGCACTGTCCTCCACCAGATGGCCATCGGGATGCCCCTGACCCGGAATGGGTCTGCATGACGCCGAAAGGTCAAGCACCCACTGAGTCACAAGCGACAGCCGTTGGTAACTGCGCCGTGTCAGAGCGGGCGTCCTTGGCAAATTCACGCGTATTGTTCGTGCGTCATTTCGAAGGTGCAGCCTGCTCGAACAAGGTGGCTCCGCAGCTGGGACAGATTTTGCATGCCTTGCAAAACAAGGGCAAATCCAGCATCTTTCCTCACTTAATCTGGTCACGGTGCAACAGCTGCTTTCTCACCTGGTGAGTCTCGTGGATCTCAAAACTCCTGCCAAGGCTCTCGCTTTTGCGACTTTGCACTCTCGATTTGCAGCCGCGTGACTCCAGTACATTGCGCTACTGCTTACCAAGCGAAAGTAGTGATCAGCAAACGAAACGCAGCATCATCCAACAGAGCAGTCCTTTGCTCCTTGCTGCGCTGAGCATCTGCCGGTTCCTCACTGGCAGGTGTCTGGGGGACTTGCTGCGACTTGCTACATCCTATTTAGCTTTTCGCTGTGGGCCCGAGGCCCAAGCCCCATCCTGCACCGTTGCATCCATCACGGACTCCCCGGCTTGATGTGGTGAGAGCCGCCCATCATCTTGGTATCAAAGATCCCCTTCTCAAATACTGCGCATGGTCTGGTCCTTGTCGTGTGCATCTGCTGTCAGGCCGAGGGAAAGATTTAGTTTCCCATGACCTGCGAAGGTATTGCCTTCATGAGCCAATTCTATAATTAGAGACATCTGACATCATATGTAAAATCAACCAGCTGCATGGGATCAGAAAGGAAGACTGCAGGATGCAGAATTATCCGGGGCCGCTACCATTTTGCTGCAGCAAGGGGTTGGGCCTTGCGGTGGCTGCACCTTTCGAACCATGATCTCACTAGCTGCCAGTTAGCTGAGCTCCGTGTCGATAACGAGCTGAGGCCTTCATGGCCTCTTGCAATCGAAGCGTGTGACTCAAGCTGGTCGTCAACGTCAGCCTGGACACCTGTCAATATGTGCATGGAACAATATGCTGCCTGCATCTGCCACCAGGCTTTGCCTCTAGAGGTCTTTGAGTCCTGGCAGCGCCCTTGTACGTGGAAGGCAAATTTAGCTGGCAACTCTCAACGGTCCTGTTGGCTGACAATTCCAGGTCCTGACTGCTCTCTGACGTTGCCCATCTCCTCTGCTTTGTGGCCCTCCACCGTCTTTTCTTCTCCAGACTCGTTGACTTCCACAATTCTGCCTTCAGGTTTGACCGCCTCCTCGTTCAGAGTGGCGGATTGCTCTTGCAGACCTTGCATCGCTAGGCCATCTACATCCTCCAACTGCACTTGTGGCACTCGATCTTGCTCTTGCACTTCATCTTCACCGCCTTCCGAGCATGCATCTCCAGGGTCAATGTGGCCCTGAGAAGCTTGAACGCTGTGAGTGCTGTGCGAACGTTCCGCGCATTCCGCGGCATCCTCGTCTAGATCCCCATCGAGTTCTAGATTCTCTCCATCATCCGTGTCATCGAGAAGTAGATGGGCTTCGTCGCTACTGCTCGCACCCTCTGCATCTTCAGAGCTTTGACCTTGGGATCCTTGAGCTTCCTCTGCTGGGCTGCACTCGTTCTCAACGGCACCTGTGGCCTTGCCCTTAGTCTTGGCTCCATTGCCCAAAGCCTGCATGCAGGCTCGGCGATTAATTGAAGCTGCTCCAGACAAGTACATTTACTTACATTTACGTGGCCTGGAGTAGTTCGACTTTCTTGACCATGCGCCGAAGGGCTTGGCTCTTCTGTTGTAGGGATTGGCTTTGCTGCCTGACTGAATTCCAGCTTCGGATGAATCAGCAAACGCAAGTTACGGTCGACCTGAGAAGCTTCTTTGTTTGATCCAGTTCGCTGGTGAGCCTTGGTCAAGATGCCAAACCAAGGTAAGTGACTGCTATGTGCTGCCTGTGCAACATCACATCTCCCCTTCGTGTGAGGTTTTTCTAGGGCTCAGACTGTCGCATTTCCTCATCATCGCTCTTGGCTGCCGTAGTTGGCGCTGGCGCCGTGCTACCCTCGGCGATGCTTTCGCGCAGCCGCGCCAGCTCCTCTCACCCACACCAGAACTCTGACAGGGTGGGGAGCATGAATGGTCTTCAAGCTTGAGTCCCAACGCAGGTAGAAGATCTTTTCAGTCGAGTCTCCCTGCTAGTCATGCCTCACTGCTACATCCTCTCACCCACACCGGAACTCTGACAGGGTGGGGAGCATGAATGGTCTTCAAGCTTGAGTCCCAACGCAGGTAGAAGATCTTTTCAGTCAAGTCTCCCTGCTAGTCATGCCTCACTGCTACAACCGGAGAGGAGTGTTTCGGGGCCCAAAACCTTGTAAAGCCCGTTGTGTCCCAGTATGTCCAAGCCTTTACCTCAAACATCTCGCCGTCTGGATTGCTGTCCAGCTTTTGGTGCAAGAATGGTACTTTCGCCACAGTTTCGGCTTAGTTTTTAATGACTTCGAGGGGCCGTAAAAACGCTCCGTTCTTTTAGAATGTTGCTAAACGTGGGGATTGGGCGCTATTTCGGGCGCAAACATAATTCATACAGAAAAAGGTGGAGGCACTGAATCCATTGTACTGCGAGGTGTTTCAGGGCAGAAAGTCCTTGTGTTAAACAGAAGCCGAATTTTATGGTATTTTGGCATTTTGAAGACATAGCTTTCTTTTTTCCTTCTCATTTGCTGAGGTTATTGAGATTTCTTGAGGTGCGTGCCGGTTGCTCTGGCTATCGGATGCTCTCGGAATACGAACCTTATTAGGATTTAGGCATGGATGCTGCTATTTTTGTATGCTCTCGGAACACAAACCTTATGCTGGTTTAGCTTGGACTGACAGAGCGAAGCTTGGACTAATCGGAACGACCCTTGGATTAACAGGAACGATCTTTGAAATAATGGGACAATGAAAAATTAAATCAGAACTCGTCACGCCCCTGGACTAATGGGGCATAACTTGCACTAATGGGAACGATCCTTGGACCAATAGGAACGATCCTAAAATTGAATCAGAACTCCTCACACCCTTGGACTGATGGGACATAGCTTGGAATGATGGGAACCATCCTTGACTAATAGGAACGATCCTAGGACTAAGGCCCCAAAGCTGAAGCTCCGGTCTTTGCATGCTCTCGAAAAAGGAATAAGATTATCAAGTGGGTGTGCTGTGATGATGGGAAACTCTCGGGCATGGGCACATGATGGTTTGGCCCCCTGGATGTCCCCAGCTGTAGACGTGCTGTCCAACATAGACGATACCAGCAAAATGTGGCAAAACGTAGGACAGTAATCCATCCGGAGGCTCAAACATGCCTCATGACCATGTGGACTTGACATGTCCTGTTTCAACGTGTGAGTGAGCTGCTCATCACACAGTGCACATACACTCCATTTGCCAGCTTTTTTTGGTCTTGGGGCACTAGAAACCTGGCAATGTCAGGCGGAAGCTGCAGTATGAGATGGGCATCACTTGATTCGGAATCTGCCGGGAACATTCCAGATCTTCAAGCAAGCGAAAAGTGGTTGGGTAGTTTCACAAGATGCTGTAGTGCCACTAAGCAGACAAAAGAAGCTGAGATCAGGCTCCGGTCTCTGGCGCCTGCGTGAGGAGCAAGTGCTCGTTCTCGGCCTCTTGGCGCTGTGCCGCCGAGAGCCTCGCCGAGTTTTCGGCCGCCTCGGCACGCTGCCGCTCGAAGGAAGCCTCCAAAAGGCCCGGAGCCTCAAATCATTTCCAATCAAGCCAAACAAGAAGCAGGTGCGTGTTAGCACACACATCTTTCCTGGGCCCTGGCAGGCTCGCCCTGCAAGGAAGACCTTGCTGCAGCAACCTTCTCCAGGCAAGGCATGAAGAGTGCCTCGACAAGAAAAGGAAAGGCACCACTTGTCATCTACATTCTAGGCTTCAGGCTTTATGTTGGTGATGGAGAGCACTCCCCGAACCGAGGCACCCCCAAAGTGTGTTGTTTGAGTCGTACTAATCGACATCTACTTCTTCTTCTCCCGGCTACAGGGGGTACTACTGCCCCCCGAGGCGCAGTCCCGAGCCGCTATCCATCTATTATTCCTCTTTTTCTTCTTTTCTTTCTTTCAACGCTACAGGGACATCGGAGGATGCCCGTGAGGGCATTGCCCTCAGGTCAAGTTCCACGCTTCCGCAGTCCGCAGTTCCACCCAAGAGGACGACGTACTGTCAATATCGACATCCCAGCAACACATCGTCCTTTCATTCATTCCTTCTTTCTTGCTTTCACTCTTTCTTTTGTTCGGGCGCCGAGACGAGCCTTGTAGGCTCGTTGCTGGGACTTTCCCACGCCCCTGTTGGGCCTTGCCTAGACCTTCTGCTCACGCAGACCCAGGTCGTTCAACCATCAACATAGTACAATGCACGGAGCACCCCGTCCTAGATCTCATGGCAGCATGCACGTACCTGTATCGGGTCTGGTGCAGCCCAGCTCAGAGAGCATGTGGAGTCCCTTTCCGGATACAAACCAAGTGCCATCTCACCAGCGCTCAACAACAGCACCTCCACCCCCACCTCTATGCCCATGCCGCTTACACTGGGTGGTGTAGTGTTGGCCTTTATCTGCCCCGTTGCATAGAATAACTCTGAAACAACAGCGTAACTCCGACGATGCTTACCCTCCTATAAATCAGCTTTAGGCAGATGTGGCACATGTTTTTGCAGGGCTAATCCATACAGCTTACCTACTCCAACACCTTGGGTTCGCCCCTCCCCCCCTGAGATGTAACCT